GATCGGCTGCCTCCTGCATGCCCCCTACTGGGGATCGAGCCCACAACCCGGGCATGTGCCCTTGATCAGAATCAAACCTGGGACCCTTCAGTCCACAGGCCGTCGCTCTGTCCACTGAGCCAAAACGGCTAGGGCTATCCTCATTTTATATCCATTACTCTGCACCTAGTCTATATTGCTAAAACAATCTATCTTTGGGATTATTCAAAATTCCTAACCCTTATTTATACCTACAGTTTATGGCTATGCCATTATTTACTTAACCTTCCTCTATTAATGATGAACATTTAGATTACCAGTTTTTTGCTATTGTAAGTAACACTTCAATGAAAATCTTGTACTTTCATCATTTTGTCAAGGCTGTGTACCTTTTAAAATTTGGTGGGTATTGGCTTCCATAGACACTGGGCAATATTCACTTATGTCAGGAAAGTAATGAGGCCCATGTGACTTAATTAAGACCCTCGTCATTTGTATTTTAAGTGATTTGTAGAATAAACAGGTTCTCCTTTCAATTTATCCTGAAGTGTATCCTCAGTTCAAAACTCTGAAAAAGAAAAATTCAATAAGGATTACTTATAAATATACTGGTCAAGACTTTTCATTTTCTATTAAGGCATGTGCTTGAAATATGACCAGCTGGTTTTAAAGTGCAAATCTGATAGAATTTGCTTCCTAATGGCCTGAGCAAAGAAACTTTATAAGTAATATTTATTGTAAGGGTAACTAGCCATGACTCCTCTCTTTTTGCAGTTCCTCCAGTAATTAAAGATAAAGAACAAGTAACAAATGTGTCCGTGTTGGTCAATCAGCTGACCAATCTCTTCTGTGAAGTTGAAGGAACTCCCTCTCCCATCATTATGTGGTACAAAGATGATGTCCAGGTAAATGGAGACATCCACATATTCACCATTTCTTGCCTCTGAAAGACATCATTCAGATGTGACTTTCTTCTTAATAATAATACGGAAACTGTACTTGAATTTTTGGTTATGCATTCTAATTGGGATTGGAAATAACACAGCATTTTGGCTCTTAAAGGTGACTGAAAGCAGCACTGTTCAGATTGTGAACAACGGGAAGATATTAAAGCTCTTCAAAGCCGCTCCGAAGGATGCGGGAAGATACTCCTGCAAAGCCATTAATGTTGCAGGCTCGTCTCAGAAGTACTTTAACATCGATGTGCTAGGTGAGGGAAAAACATTCTTTTAAAAACACTGCAAATCAGATGCATTTCTTACATATGACAGAATTGACTGAAAGAGTAAAGAGAAAAATATATTGATAGGATAAATACCTTCATATCATCATTATTTTGTCGTTAATATTTGTTGACCAGAACCATATTGTATGGAGATTTAAAAGGTATTATTATTTATCATACAGAGACATCTATGGGTTTTTGGTACCATCTTATACATAGAATTGTCAATAACAACACTTGTCAATTTCTCCAGTTAGGTGGGCAGGAAATTCTCTGGGTAGTAACTATGTAGGATGAGGCAGAGTAAGTACCATTCATACTGTCGACATCTGAAGCTACTAAGTTGTACTTGAACTTGGATGATAGAAAATGCACCTAATTAATTTTTTGTAACTAAATCACCTCAGCTCTGATTCTAGTTAATGG